TATGGTATACCACAAGCCACGATATCTATAAAATTGCCATTATAAAATAATGCATAAAATATGCACGTCAAATAAGAATACTGATTGTAGAAAATAATTAAATTCTTATGTAAAAGATATCTATGGAAATGATATCCTCTATACCGATCAAATTTATATATCGATAAATAATTCATTTTCAATTAAATATTGTCTCTTTCTCTTACATCTTGTCGCAAGTCTCGAGGCTGTGATCTATCAGCTTTTGTCCTTGGATGCTTAAGCAAAACAAGTGAAACAATTGAGCACAAATGAAGAGGAAGCACCTAAACGCTTCCGCTAAATTGTGCAGCTGTATCGAAAGCTTGAACGCGTGAAAGGTAAATTCCTGTTTTAGTTGTTCCTTACGTTACAGAGTTCTAGTATTTGCTTATTCGTAAGTAACTCACTTGTACTAAAGAAATACTCAAGATAATTGTATTCATCAGAAGTTGCACGGCGAACGATATCGTAAAAGTACTCTCAAGAAATTCAACAAACCTATGATAAGGATATAATAATGACGACTAAATATCTAAATAAAAGTCAAGCAAAAACATCGTAACTTATCACGGATTATCAAAGATTTTTTAATTGACATTTGGATTAACGAAAGGAATATGTATTACGTTTGTTACGAATATGTTTACAAACTCACTGTAGAGCCTTGTTATGAATCTGAATCGAAGTCACAATATTCTTGTGATACACGGCATCCGGATAATCGATCATATTTTTTTCTATAGCACAACGTTTATGTAACAAATGCTCAAGTCTAAATCTGCAAGTAGATCGTGAATTAATGTTATTAGAAAATTTTCAGAACTAATTTCTGAATTTAAGAATTAACCTTTTTGGTATGGAGAGTGACTATATAGTCACTGTCCATTATAGAGTAGAGTGGAGCAAAATCACGCACTCAATTTTTGATTCCATATATCTACCGTTGAGATATTGCTAGAATCTTGAAATTTGAACTGTAAAATCTTCAAACATTCTCTTTCAAAGTTCACTAGTTTATGTCTATATTTTGAATACATTTCACGTAATAAACTTTTCTTGAACTGATTGCAAAAACGCATTTTTGCCCCACCGGTGGGGCAGGTATATTTGTTTTCGTGTAAGTTAAGTTGGCAACACTAAGTTAATTCGTAAACTGTCATGACTGACAATGAGTGGCGCCGTATGACAGTCGATTCGACTGAACAGCGTTGAAACTTAGTATTTTTGATTTGTTGGCTCGACCCGACTCGGATCAGATCGAAAGTTCAGTTTAAAACTCGATGACTCTAAATTATATCATGACAGAAAGCGTTCCTTAACTTCCATCACATATTCTTAGCATTATGGCGGCATATTATCATATTTTATTATTATTTTTCCGAACTTTCAATCTGACTCGAGTCGGGTCGAGACAACAAATCGAAAACGTTATATGAAGTAAGTTTCATTTTTCAGCTTTTTAATGTATAATAACATTTTGATTTCTTCCAAACTGTATTTTATAAGTAGAAGTAAACTTAAGTAAATTGACAAGACATTTTGATTAACTCGTTTCTAGAGTTTGTCGTGCTATATTAGACGTTTTAAATTGTTATCTGTAGATAGTAATGCCGGTAATTAAAAAGTGGTAATTAAAGCCGACCGAGCAACTTGAAATGTTAACTTAAAACGTTTCTGTTGATAAATATTTTAAATTGTTTTTGTTACTGAATTTTATTACACTAGTTAGATATGATGAGATGATACATATTGTAAATGGAGGCATTGAACGTCGAGTGCATAACTCTCTCGGCCGAATCGCGTATATCGGCGAATCGACGCGTTGGTCACCGAAGGGCCGTTTGCGTCCCAGTCGCTCGTTACCAAAAGGGTTAACTTCTTTCATGTAAATATGTACAAAAACTGAAACTATTATTACGTTACATTTATTCCTAGGTATAGATAATTATATTTATCTCCTAACTAAAAGAGATGTGATCACGCTTTCAGTATAAATAGTCATTACCCAACGATGGCGAAAAGACCGCAGACGTGTTCGATGTAAACGAAAAACGTGATGTCGTGCGCGATTAATCCCGTTAAATTTATAACGCCAGTAAATAACATATGGCAAAAAATATAGTAGAAATATTCATTTTCGTCAACGAAATAGTATCCCGGATATGCTAACATTATGGGGCGGGAAGTATTCAATGGAAACACCACATCCAAGATGCGTGGCACGAGAGCGGTTGATATAAATATAGTGGTAATCATATATATAATTGCTGCAACAAGAACAAAAATACGTCAAAACGAGCGCCTATACTTAATAATTAAAATTAATTAAAAATTATGTTACTAAAATTATTTTATATATTATTTTTGAAAATGTCTCTATTGCTTCGTCGTACTTGTGCAATATATATCTTTTATGTATTAAGGTAAATATACTAATGCCTGGACACGTACCTATGTCTGGACATTTTTATCATTTCCGTTCTTAAATAAATTATAATGCGAATTAAAATCAAAGAATTAAAGATAAAGATATTTTTCTTGTATTATACTTTTATCTATGATATTAATTTGCGTTATGCTTATTAAAAAACTAAAATGATAAAGGTGTCCAGACATTGGTCTTAAGTGTCTCGACATTGGTGCATTTACCTTAATATAGCACATAAGTTAT